GTAGAGACGAGGTTTCACCGTGTTGACCAGGATGGTCTCGATCTCTTGACCTTGTGATCCACCCGCCTCGGCCTCCCAAAGTGCTGGGATTACAGGCGTGAGCCACCGCGCCCGGCCTCACCCAAAATATTTAATCAGCCCACAGAAGGATTATGCCTTAGTAGTAGGGCTACTACTACAGACCATCATGGCTAACGCGGTGAAACCCCGGCTCTATTGAAAGTACAAAAAATTAGCTGGGCATTGTGGCACGCCCTTGTAGTCCCTGCTACTCGGGAGGCTGAGGCAGGAGAATCGCTTGAACCCAGGAGGCGGAGGTTGCAGTGAGCTGAAATCATGCCACTGAACTCCAACCTGGCAACAGAGCAAGACTTCATCTCAAAAAAAAAAAAAAGAGAGAGAGAGACCATTGTGACCAATATGGTGAAACCCCATCTGTACTAAAAATACAAAAAAAAATTAGCTGGGCATGGTGGTGTGCTCCTGTAATCCCAGCTACTTGGCAGGCTGAAGCCGAAGCATCGCTTGAACCCAGGAGACGGAGGTTACAGTGAGACTGAGCCATTGCATTACAGCCTGAGCAACTCCATCTCAAAAAAAAAAAAAAAAAAAAAATAGCCTCAGGCCAGGCACAATGGCTCCTGCCTGTAATCCCAACACTTTGGGAGGCCTAAGTGGGCAGATTATCTGAGGTCAGGACGAGTTCAAGACCAGCCCAGCCAACATGACAAAACCCCATCTCTACTAAAGATACAAAAAATTAGCCAGGTGTGCTGGCACAGGCCTGTAATCCCAGCTATTCAGGAGACTGACGCACAAGAATCGCTTGAGACCGGGAGGCAGAGGTTGCAGTGAGCCTAGATTGCACCACTGCACTCCAGCCTGGGTGACAGAGTGAGACTCCGCTTCAAAAAAAGAAAGAAAGAAAAGAAAGGAGAGAAAGAAAGAAAAGAAGAAAGAAAAGAAAGAAAGAGAAAAATTAGCCTCAAAAGCCAGGCATGTTGGCTAACACCTCTAATCCTAACACTTTGGGAGGCTGAGGCAGGCAGATCACTTGAGCCTAGGAGTTCAAGATCAGCCTGGGCAACATAGTGACACCCCATCTCTACAAAAAATTAGCCAGGTATGGTAGCAGATGCCTGTAGCCTCCGCTACTCAGTAGCTAAGGCAGGAGGATCCCTTAAGCCCAGGAGGTTGAGGCTGCAATGAGCTGAGATTGCACCACCACACTCAAACCTGGGTGACAGAGCAAGACTCTGTCTCAAAAAAAGCCTCAAAAAGATCAAACTGATTTGCAAGTAATTTACCTAGTCTGCCAGAACAAAGCCCAACCCTCTTTAAAGGAGAGTAACAAATCCAGAGGCTTAACAGCATATTTACAATGTCCAACATTCAGTTAAAAATTACTAGATATGCCAAGAAGTAGGAAAACATAACCGATAATAAAGAGAAAAATAATTTTATAGAAACAAGACTCAAGTGATAAAGATGATAGCTCAATATACTCAAGAGTTTAAAAAAGCCGGGCGCCGTGGCTCAAGTCTGTAATCCCAGCACTGTGGGAGGCCGAGGCGGGTAGATCACGAGGTCAAGAGATCGAGACCATCCTGGTCAACATGGTGAAACCCCGTCTCTACTAAAAATACAAAACATTAGCTGGGCATGGTGGTGCGTGCCT